ACCACTACAATATTGTAAAGTAATTAGCCTCCAACTAGTAAAAATAAATGGAAAAAAAAATCCTTACTAAAGTTCTCTGAATTAAGATATTTTGGTGGCAAATGTCAGAAACTCAAGTCACCTGGCTCAAAATGGGAACATGCTGGCTTATGAAAATAAAAAAAGGCTCATCTCAGCTTCAGGCAGCCAGGCCCGGGTGCCCGGCGATGTCTTTGGGAACCTGTGCTTTCCCGCTCTGAGCTGACTCCATCCTCAGGAAGGCCCATGCTGCCTGGCTGCAGGATGGCCACCCAGCCCAGGTCCTCTGCCTCCAGACAAGCACCTATGGCTGTCAAGACTCCCTGTCCTTTCTAGTGCTGGCTCCAGAAAAAGTTGGCTAGGCTTGGATTTGTGCCCATTCTTGGGGTACTTAACAGTAAGTTCTGAGGATGGAAATGTGAACAAGACGTCCCCTTCTCTCAAGGGCCTCCCAGCCTTGTAGCAAATACTTCGTAGTTAACAGACACTGTGTGCAGTGTCATCCCCTGTGAGAAGTTGGGGGATTAAGTATGGAGCAAAGCCTCTGCAATAAAATTAAAACTTCCCTTCAAGTACATCCCCAAGTTTCCATCCCAAATTTCTTAATCTAGCAGAGTGGTTGAGAGCTCAGCATACTGCGGCCGACAGATCTGCGTTTGAACCCAGGCTCTGCCATTTAGGAGCTTTGAGAATCTGGAAAGCAAACTCATGTTTCTGTGTCCCACGGAGATAATAACGTTACTGAATAAGGTTATTCTGAGGATTCAATGAAATGATGCATATGAGTCAGTAAATTCAGTGCCAACACATAATAAGAGCTGAATAAATTGCACTTCTTGCTGCTGGACTGGAGTTATGGGGGTTTGAATCCCCTCTCCACGGAGGGAGGGTTCTGGAGTAGACCAGTCTAGTACAGGCAAAGGGCCACGCAGCTGGCATCTGGGAAGAAGTTGTTATAAAACAAAAGGGGACTGATGCTTCTTAGTCATCTAATCCAGGGGTCCCAGCACTGGGGAAGGGGTCTAGATGAACACAGAAACTGGAAGGGCCTAAGTAAGTAAGTAAGTGTGAGTCGCTCAGTCATGCCCACCTCTTTGTGACCCCATGGACTGCAGCCCACCAGGCTCCTGTGTCCATGAGATTTTCCAGGCAAGGATACTGAAGTGGGTAGCCATTTCCTTCTCCAGGGGATCTTCCCAACCCAGGGATTGAACCCGGGTCTCCTGTCCTGCAGGCAGAATCTTTACTGACTGAGCTACCTCAAACATACTTCAAAGCCCAGAGTCCTGAACCAAGGAAGTGAGGCAGAGTGGTGATGGGGATGGGGTGTGGTGGGGTTACTTGGAGGGGGGAGCGTGCACAGATGGGGCATGGCTACTTTAAGGGGTCACAGACCACTGCCACTGTGCCGAGAGAAGCTTTCTCATGATGCCTTCCTGAGTCGTGACCCCACAGGAGAGGAAAAGGGCCCTGGGGACCAGCAATTGCCTGGAGGACTCCCCAGGGCCCCAATTTGCATACCCCTGAGAACCTCCACACAGTGTCTTGAAAATTAAATCAAAGTCTTGAGAAAATGTGCTGAAACTCTCTCTCTGTGGGTTATTCACTCTCCTAAAATACTGTTTTCAACATAACCCCTGCCAACTGGATATAAAGTCCAGCTTTCTGAGTCTGGCGTTCAAGGTGGTCTGCTGCCTCTGGCCGTGCCCTGTGAGCAGAAGGCGTCTTGACGCCCCTCCCTCAGCACCCCCTCCCCCCCCACCACATCAACTCACACACGCTTCAGTGATGGGGAGGGGAGGTAGCCCCCAGATCCAACCTCCTCTAAGATCAGCAGAGGCACTTACGTGACTACTAGGCCTATCTTTGGGAATTTTTCTTTTAAGGTTTCGGCTGGAAAATAATTACCGCTGTGTGATCCTTTCCTCTAAATTAGCGCTTTCATGCACAGTGTACTATGTGATTTTACAAAAGCCTTGTCAGGGGATAGGGGCCTGCCTAACCAGCAGAGCGGGGCCGGGGCTGTGGGCTCAGCTCAGCCTGGGAGCTCTCTCCCGGGGTCTGCTGGCCTGGACAGCTCTGTCATCTCACAGTCCAACCCCATCTCTTCCCTGAGCCCATTTCACAGCAGATAGGTCCTGTAAATAGACTTAAATTGAGGGAGGAGCAAACCCAGGGAAGGACAGAAGCATAAAGCCCTGTTCTCAGCGGGCATGCCGCAGAGTCCCCAGCCGCCACTGCCCCTGGGTCTCGGGAGGGTCTCCCATCCCCTCTAGCAGGCGGACGCTCCTCCGGCAACCTCAGTGGGCCCACTCAGTGCTCGAGGCATGGAGAACCCAGAGCAGGAAACTGCCTCGGTTCACCCCCATCACCCCATTGTCTGGGGACAGTGCAGGGGAGGACCTGGGAAAGCCAGGTAGCACAGGTACACCCACCAGCCACAGGGACTGGTCCACGCGAGCTCACGAGGCCCTGTGAGGCCAGCTCGTCATCCGTGCTGGCCGGATCCCCCCACAGGCGTTTGGAGTGGGGACTGGACTCCCTGGCCCACGTCTTTCTTGTGCATGACCTGGGTCAACACAGCCACGTGCCGCCTTGGAGAGGTGCAGCAGAGAAGGCCAGACTGCTGGAAGGGAAATGTCAAAGAGAAGCAGAGGCAAGAGAGGAACGATGGAGGCAGTGGCTGCTCCCCTGAGACCCCCTCGTGAGGGTCGGCAGGGCCCCGGGCTACCCCGCGGGGTTCCCGTCAGCAATCTCGTCCTTTTAAACTAGCTTGAGCAGCCTCTGTCCGCTGCCCTCAGTGATCCCGAAGATGAATCCCAGCCACTCCTGCCACCCTTAGCAGATTTTCTGAGAATGTGTGGATGAGGCAGGAACCAACATTTAGGTAATTCTGCAGTCCTTTCCGCCTGGGTCATGGGCTGCCTTCCCAGAGCGCCCAAGTCTGGCAGCACTTGGGCTGGGAGACATGCGAAGTCTGGGTGTAAGACCCAGCCCCCGGCCACAGAGAAGGGGAGCGCTCACAGGAGCGCTGGCTCCTTGACCAGCGCTGGTCTCGGACGCCAGCACATCTCACCACCACTTGAACAGGACATTCCTGTGTGTTTTAGGCCAATAGATAGGCATGGTTTCTTCTTAGAGCTAGTATTTCTTTTGTATTTACTGCTTGGGGGGGCTGGTTCTTTCTTGTTAAAAAAATCCGTTTATGAGTTTGTCTTATTCAATTGATATTGACTATTGATTTCCATTGCACCCTCTCTGCCTCTCCTGCTTCATCAATGTTTATTGTGCATCCTCTTACTGGAAGAAGAAAGCCATCCTGACTGATCCAGGCCTGCTGTGACTTCCCTCCCCTGACTCAGTCTGGAGCCCGCCTTGCTGAATTGAGGACGGCTGTTCCTTTTCCTTCGTCTTCGCCAGAAGTGGCTCCTGGCAGGCACCGCGATGGAAAGGCAGCGTGGTGGCTGAAAGCATGGGGAACCGCACCCCTGTAACACATCCTGTGGCCTGGGGTGTGTCCCTTCCATCTCTGGCCCTTTCCCTAGTCTGCAGAGTGAAGGCCCTGGCCCACAGCACCTTCAGTTTCCTGAAGGCCTGGCTGACCATGTAGCGACCCTGCTGCTCAAGGCTCCTCACTGGTGGGCTCAACCAGAAAGGGGCTTTTCCTGCTAACCCCCTTCCAGCTCGCCAGCACACACACCCTCACCCAGCCCAGGCGTAGCCTTTCCACACGCATGGCCTTTCTGCATCATCCAGCCCACATGGGGGTCTCTGTCACTCTCCTGCCTTAGTTGGGCCATATAGATGGGCTGTCCTTTGCCGCCTGGGGCTCCCGCTGGGTCTCAGGGCCTCTGCATTGTGAATTGGAGGAAGAAAAGGAGAAGGTTTAATAGGTTGGGAATGGATACACTTAGGGCACTAAAGGCTATTTTCCCTTTTCCATCATTACAGTGGTTCTAAAATATATCTACTAATGCTTTGACTTCCTCCCTTCAAAGACTGAAGTCTAACTCCAAATGTGGTCTGTACTTAATGACTCACTTCTCACAAATAGAGTGTTTGTACAAGTACTGCTATATGATTTCCAAAGCCTAGTCATAAAAAGGATGACTTCTGCCTAGCTCTCTCTCTCAGATCTCTTGCTCTGAGGGAAGACAGCTACCAGCTCAGGAGAACAGTCAAGCAGACGTGGAGCTGGAACCATGGGGGATACTGAGGCCCCTACCAACTCCCAACAGCAAGCGTTCCTCGGACGTCTCCAGGTGACAGCAACTTCATGACAGAGCCTGAGCCAGGGCTGCCTGACCAAGCTGAATTCCCGACCCACAGAAACTCTGAGGATAATAAATGCTTACAGTTCCTTTAAGCCACGGACTTTGGAGCACTTTGTGTGCAGGGGCAGATAAATGATAGACAACTAATAAGCCCTGAATCTCCCACTGCAGCTAAGTATGCGTCGCTCGTCACTTTCTTTGCACAGAGCAAAGAGGAGAGCCCTTCCGTTGTCACAGAGCTCACTTCAGCAGGATTCGGAGCACATGTTAACATGTATTGCTGCCCTGTGACCTCATGTTTTGGCCCAGCTTTGATCCACATGACCCAGATACCTTCATGAATCTACAGCCTTTAGCTTAGCAAGGCCTGCAGGGTCTGGGGTGGCTTCCACAGTACAGGCCTGTCCAAGATTCAGGGTTACCGTCCACTACGGGAGGAGCACCACTGAGCCCAGAGCTGTCTCTGTACCAGGTCCACAAATGCCCACACTGAAGCATCCCCAAGCATCCTGATGTAAACTGATTTCCTTGGACAGCAGGGCAGCCTCCACTCTGAGAACCACAGCAGGACTGCTGGGGCCGCCAGGAGCCGCTGATATGGCAGCCCGATGGCTTCCCCAAGACGGGTGTGGCCTGACGTGTGTGACGCTGCCCCGTTCCCCCCGACACAGGCTCTGGATGCCGAGATCCTGAGGACACTGAGAGGGATCACATTTTCGCCGAGCCCAGGCCCCTGGGCAAGAGCCCTGGGAGGCCGCCCAGCCCCTCATCCACACAGACAGTGACAGATCCATCCTCGAAGCGCTGAGCACAGTCTGGGCCCTGCCAGGGGTTCCTGCCAGCACTCGTTGTGCCCTGCGGGCCTCCCTTACAGGGAGGAACGCTCACGTCGTGCAGTGTAGCCAACACTGTCTGACCATCTACCACGTGTGGGGCAGAAGCATGGCTGCAAGAGGAAAGGGGAGGTCATGCGGCTCCTGCTCCACGAGCCCCCCTCTCCAGTGAGTGGAGGAATACTGGGTGAATCTGTGAACAAGAATCAAACTAAGGGAATAGCAGCCTCTGTACCTCCTGAGCACCCAAGGAGCAGGAACACCAAGGGAAGTTGGCCTGGGCTCTAGGAGATCATGCCTTTCCACAAATGCCAAGAGCATCACGTGTGGCATCATCCGATGGCACCACAGAGGCATGGGAGAGCCACGTCTGTGCGTCACTCTGTCCGGCAGCAGTCTATGCAGGCCAGCAAGCGCTGCCACGAGCTGTGAAACAAAAACTCCAACAGGAGCAAGCGCACATCTCCTGCTCACAGGTCTGCAAGTCGACTGAAGCATCTCTGCTCTTCCCTGGGCTCTGCTCACATACTCATTCCAGGGCTCAGGCTGAAGGAGCAGTCGCCACCCGGGCCTACCCCTCTCAAGATGCAAGGCAGGGGGATGAAAGGCCAACACAACCACACAACGTTGGAAGCCCTCGGGTGGAGGTGAGACATCTCATGTCTGCCCTCACTCCACTGGTTACAGCAGGTCATGAGGCAAGTCTTTGGGACAAAGAAGTACACTCTATCCAGAACGCACCTTGACAAGGATGGGGAGGGAAGGAAAACTGTGAAAAGTTAATACGATCTGCTTAACAGACGGTGGCCAGGACGTCATAGCTGTTGAAACGGGAAACAGACTGGACTTTGTATGGGAGAGGCTGGGTTGCTCACTAAACTGTTCCTCTTTCCCTCCTGGACATAAAACCAGACTACATTTCCCGGCTTCCTTTGTAGCTAATGTCTGATTCTGGCCAGTGGAAGGTGGTGGAGACGATGAACTCTACTCCCAGGCCCAGACAGTTAAACCTCCTACCCCATCCTCTGTTCTTTCCTCATCGACTGGGTAGCATCTAGCTGAGGACCCTGAAGCCCGGGATGATAGCAGAGACACGTGGGCCCCTCAGTTACCGCTTGGAGGACAGTCACCAGGAGACACCCAGGTGAGTCTGCTTAGGGAATTGTGGGCACACTTTTATGGTGTCAAGTCACAGAGACTTGGGGATTGTTTGGTATAGCCGTTGATCTCCCTACTGTTACCTCATGTCACAGAGGCCCTTGGGTGTGGCTAAGTGGGACTAAGTCAGGAAGGCCTGGGCTGAAATATCCACCCTAGCACGTTTCAGTGAGATCACCTTGAGCAAACTGCTATACCTCTCTAGACCTTAATTTTTCATCGTTAAATGGGGATTCATAACTTCAAAAGATATATTAATGACAAACTCCTTCACTAAACCAGGTGAGGTGTCTTAACGAGTCCCAGCAGGTGGCCCTGTTGGCCCGGAAGTTTACGAGAGGCTTTCAGGACGTGGGAAGTCACCACGTGGCATGTTGAGGGGTAAGTCTTCCTGGGGGCTCGCTCAGCTCGGGGCAGGGATCGGGGAGCAGGATGCCCTTCATGGGCTGGGAAAATCCACACCGCAGGAGGGGCAGGTCCTCTGCTTTGCTGGAGGTTTCTGCAGACACATTGACTAGAAAGCTGGCAGGAACGGGCAATGACTGTCTCATCTCAGCCTGCCCCTGCCCCCGACACCCAGGCCCCCGCAGTTCCCCCAAACCAACAAAGGCCACTTTAGGCCTCAGGTGATTACAGTACTCTCCTCACTGCGCTTTTGTGAGGATGACATGAGCTGCTATTTGTAAAGTTCGTGGAGCTCTGCTGTGGAGGAGTTGTTATATGCATAAAATAAATAGAAAAACACGAGGCAGAAGGAGAAGGCAGGAAAGGAGGCGGAAGTGATGGAGGGAGAGAGCAGTCAGGTGGACCCTGGCGGGCAGGCCCCCAGGTAGATAGGTGGACAAGAAGGTAGGAACGGACAAGAAGAAAGGAACAGGCTCCTGAAGGAAAATTCGAGAGAGGGATCCAGTGAGAGACCAAATCCCCAAAAATAGAAGGATGGAGCACGCATTCACGAATGCGTGTGGCCTCCTAAAAGACCTCTCAGGCCAAACAAGTGCCACCTTGGGGGAGACACCACATGCGCACATCCCCGGGCAGTCAGTGGCCCGCTCCAGGAAACGGCTCCGGCTGCGAGCGCACGGGTGCCCGGGGCGGTGGGTGGCCTGAGTGCGCAGAAAAGCAAGCAGGCCCCAGCAAGTTCCCCTCCACCCCCAGGGCGCCCCGGCTCCATCCACAGCCTGTTCCCTGGTCCTGTCAAGATCCCCAGGAAAAGTCTGGGACAAATCAGAGATGTTATTCAAATCTGTTTCCAAATGCAGACAAGCTGACAAGCTCTCTCTCAAGTTACCGCCTAATGCGATTTCAAATGGCAACTGCAGGCGTCCCGAAAGTGGCGTCTGTGAGCAAGGCCCCGGCCACTCCCACCCGGCAGCTCCCACCTCTGGGTGCTGCTGCGCTCGGCACGGAGGCGCCCGCACACAGAGTGCTCGCAGGGAAGGTCGCCAATCTGTGGCTAGGAGGCAAGGGGCGGGCGTCCCAGGTCCTGGAGCCTGGCGGACGAGCGGGGCGCCTCCCTGGGGTCCGAGCGACCCCAGGACCTGGGTAGAGAAGCCGTGTGTGCAGAGGCGCCGTGGTGATGTAGCAAACACCTCCATCAAGAAGTACAGCGGGGCTCGCCGAGGATTCCAGAGAATGACTTGCCTGCGTCCCTGGGATGAATTGGTGGCACAATTAAGCCTAAGTTCCAGGATTTCTGACTGCCAGTTCTGTGCTTTCTCACCATATCACACTTGCTCTTGATTTTCTCTAAACGATGCAAGCACTTATAAACACACAGGGAGATAGGTCCTTTTACTCTTTTTTTGGGGGGTGGGGGCCACACCACACGGCTAGCAGGATCTTTGTTTCCTGGGCTCTGGCAGGGAAAGCAGTGAGTCCTAACCACTGCACCACCAGGGAATCCCCCATTTGCTCATTTATAAAATGGGATTGTTGCAAGGATGACACGAAATAGTAGATCACGGTAACACACATTGCTCAGCGACTGACACAGTGCAGACACTCCGCAAATGTTAGCTGTGGTTGTAGCTGTTCAAATTCGTAATTGCTACTGTTATGTACTATTAGTAATAATAATAATAATAAGGGGCTGTGTGACACACTCTTCCATGCGGACTTAATTCCTCAGAACCTGGATCTGTTCCTACTTTTGTCTCTGACTTTAGATGCAACTGGAAAATGCCCTCAGGATTTATTCCTCCCCAGTACTCCTAACAGAACAAACTCGAGACATCCAGAGTGCTATCTTCCAGAGGATTTGCTATGAGCCTGACATGGTGCTGGGGCTTGACATTTGTTCTTTTGAATCAACTGTGTAGTCATCAGAATACCCATTCCACAGATGAGAAAACAAAAGGTCGGAGGGTTATGCATCAGGAGAGGTGGGAGGCTGACCTGGGCCTGGAAGTCCAGGAACCAGGATCTCATATCCACTCCTGCCTTTCAGATGCTTCCAACAGTCAACAGGCAATGTCAGGCCTCCAGGGTCACAGGGGCACCCCACGGGACACCAGTCCTGTCCAGGTCAGGGCTAGAGTTGCTTAGTGGGGGGAAGATCAATAGCAAGGCTAAGGAGAGAAGGACAACTTTATGGAGGGAGGCCAGAGTGGCTGTGCAGGGTTTTGTGAGCACACACATGGCCTCATGCAGAAACACACACAGGCATGAGCACACACAAGCACACAAAGGCGTGTGAACTCACACACACAGACATGGGCGCACATAGGCATACACACAAGAATCTGCCTGCTGTGCAGGAAACCCAGGCTTGATCCCTGGGTTGGGAAGATCCCCTGGAGAAAGAAATGCAACCCACTCCAGTATTCTTGCCTGGAGAATTCCATGGACAGTGGAGCCTGGCAGGCTACAGTCCACAGGGTCACAAAGAGTCAGACACGACTGAGTGACTAACACCCACACAAAAACAGAGACGCAGACACGCACAGGAGTCATCCCGAACCCCCGGAAAAAAGCTTCAGGCCCTTGGCGGTGCCCTTCTTGGAGGGGCAGCTATGGAATTGCCCCGAGCTGACCCCCCATCGCTTGCCTCCCGCCCCAGCACTGGGCCCCAGCCTCAGACAAGGGCGGGTGCTCCCTGAGCGTTCCCAGGCCCCAGGTGCTCCCAAGACTCTACTTGAGGAGCAGCACAGGCCTGGGCAAAGCCCCAGTGACTTCGGGAGGACCTGGTGGGCGGGTGCTCCCTTCAACGAGATTCTGTCTCCTCAGCCTCTGTCCCTGCCTCGCTCTTAGAATTTCTGCAGAGTCTCACAGACAAACTCACTTCTCTCCAGCCACTAAGATGCAAGAAACAGGTGATTCCCAGTGGAGGACGGTGCTCCAGAGCCCACACAGGGGGACAGCGCTCTGTTTCCCCCTGAAGCAGATAAGGGGGAGAAGGAGCCCTCTGCCCACCCTGGGAGGGAGGGTCTTCCCCTCTCAAGAGGCCCAGGGGGTCTCTGCAGGCAGAGGTGGGCTGGCTCAGCCAGGCCTCGGGGCCTGGACTCCCTCTTCTTTCCTCTTCAGGGCCTGGGGGAGGTGGGGGCGTCCGGGGGCCCCTTGGTTGGCATGTGAGGGAGTGAGGCTGGAGATGTGCCCCCTTCACTCTCTGAGCCCTGCCTCCTGCGCCCCGAGGTGTGACTGCTGAGACAGCAATCACGGTTTCACACAGTAAAGCCTCCCCTGACGATCAGCACAGCATCCTGCTCTCAGCCCTCGTGTTTCTGCTCCTCACCCGCCCGTCGGCATCAGGGTGTGTCCTGCCTGGGAGGGACCTGGCATCTCTTTGGGCCAGAAGGTTTCCTAGGAATAAAACAGGGGTGGAAATGACCGCTAGGAAGTTGAAGAGCACTCTGGATGCAGAGGCATCTGTCTTTTCAACACATCATCTCTCCCTCTGGAGGGGCCTGGACTGAAAGATGGCTAGTTTCAGCCCCATGGGGCTTTATGAAGGCAGCGAGCTTGATATCAGCTCCTCCCCTCTCCTCGGCCTTGTGAACCCAGAACCTTAGCTGCCCTGAACACGCCAATCACTCATTCATTCAGCAAACATCCTGGAGCAGTCAGGTCTGGGAGGTGCGCACTGTGCAGGGAGCGATAAGACCCCCCGCGAAACACAGCCACCCGGGGAGACGGCATCGGAATACATTATCCTAACACGAGCCCAAGGACTGAATCTCAGACAGTGACTTTAGAAGCATTGGTGAGTTCAAACAGGAGGTGAAGCCCATCTTCCTCTCCAGAGGACCAGGGAGTCCCAGCGTGCCCGTCCTTAGCCGCCACTGGCCCCGCACCACGGCCTGGGGGCAGGACAGTGGGGCTCCCACCGGCAGGCCCGGGGGGCGGGGGGGGCCTGGGCAGCCTCTTGCTTCCTGCGAACCTGGAGGCTGGCGGGCTCCAGGCCAGCACCTCTGCAGCGGCCACAGCCTCTCTCCTTCCCTGTCCCCATCTGGAGGCCACAAGCAGCCCCGAAAGACTGTGTGGGCCTGGGAGTCAGCTAGGCCTCAGCTCAGAGCCTGCCTCGGCCACCCTGCCCCTGGGGCAGAGATCACCCCACCAGGGAGGAAGCTGACAAGCAGCCCGGCAGGGCCCCCGGGGCCAGGGGCGAAGCACGCGTGAGGGCAGCAGCCTCCCCCGGGACCATCTGGCGCCCTCTCCACCCGCAGCGTCCGGGGCTGCTGTGAAGCCCACGGTGGGGGCGGCAGGCCCGGAGCACCAGGAGAGCTGGTCCGGGAGAGGCCCCTGGCAGCCCCTTCCAGACGGGAGCCTCTCTGCTGGGACGGCCACCTCCGGCCAAACTTAGCAAGGACTCGAGCTCAACAAACACCAGTGGGGATGAAGATTGACACACCCGACTCCATTTGTGATATTTAAGTCTGCACCACCTTCCCTGACCAGCTCAGGGAGATCTCCACCCCACTGCTGGCCCCGGACAGGGTCTCATGCAGACCCTAGGGCTGTCTGTTGAAGTCTGCACTTTTTCCTGGGAAAAAATGACCCTCCTAGGAAAGAGGGAGATGGAGGTCCTACAGGAACCCTGTGTAGGTTATCATCCAGGGAAGCCTAGGAAGGGCCACTGGCCCGGTCTCCTCATTGACAAGAGTTGCTTCAGGCCAGACGTTGTGCCAGGCTCTGGGAATCAAGCCCCAAACGAGGCAGGTGTCCTCTGAAACTTCCATCCATGAGGTTCCCAGTGCTGTCTGGGGAGAAGGGAGGGATTTAGGCTGGAGGAGCAGAGGCAGGCTCCGGAGCCTGAGCACCTTGACAAAACCTCGTTGGGGGCGCCCAGGGCCATGCCAGCCATACCGGCTCCTCTCCAAGGCGTCTTGTACCCAGGAACTGCTGCCCTGAGACCTGTACACTCTGCCCTGAGACCGTCACAGCACAGGGGTCCATGCAAGATCAGGCAAGTTGTGTGGTGAGAGAAAGTTCTGCGAAGCCCACAGGCCCCCACTCCCTAGGCCCCGACATAAACCCAACGTGAAGCGCCTGCATGCAGACCCTCTCAAGACTTGCTGTGGAGGTCCTTTCTAGACCTTGTTCTTGGAAGGTGGGAAGGAAAGAGGGAAGGGAGGGAAAAGAGGGTCAGAGAACAGACGGAGGGAACCCTGAGGGGCACACGGGTTGGCCTGGGTGGGCTTTGAGGGTGACAGCGATTTGTCTGTGTTTATTTCGACAGTTCCCCAGGGCTTGTGGCTGTTGTCCAAGCCCATTAGAAAGGACTGCAAAGGCCAGGGTGTGTGTTCCATAGAAGGGCTCTGGCTGGAACACACCGGGACATACACCGCCTGTCTCCATAGGCAGAGGTATTGACATCTGCTTAGTCAATCTAACTGGAAATGCAGCTGTAATTACTGTTTTGTTTTAAAGAATTGCTTTTCCTCATCTGTTGATCTCCAGGTCTGAGGTGCTGCTGCTGTAAGTGTATCAAAACCCATCGGTTCAAGCAACGAAATGCCTGGCATGTTGTCTGCCGAGAGTGCAATGACTTACCCCCTGGAATTTTCTCTGGTCCAGGCAGTACAAGACCTTCTATTACTTAGAGGGGATGGTTTTTAGAAACAAGGTGCTTCCATTCTCCCCGGAAGACAGCAGATTTCTAGACCCTTGAAAACTAGGGATAGAACAGAGAGGCTGGTTGAAACTAAATGCCATGGTTGCCGGGAATGGCCGAGGAGACCCATGCGGTTTGTGCTGGCCCCTCAGCGAGTGTCCAGCAAAGGGAGGCCTCCCAGGGCCCAAGGTGCCACGCTTTTGGGATCAGGTGCTCATTGCTGCCCTGGAGAGCAGGGGCGACTTGGTAATGCCCACGCACTGAGCTGTGCCCACATCCCCAGCTCTCAGCGAGTGTCCCCAGGTCCCCAGATTAAGGACTGGGCCACAAGCAGCTTACAGAGACGGCGATCCTGGACGCACTCACGCGGGGGTGGGGGCAGACAGGCAGGAGCTGGCAGCTGTCACAAGGCGTGACCACGAACGAGCCGCGGCCACTGAGGATGTTGGACACGGTCGGAACAGGCCCGCAGGGAGGGTGAGAGCCCCACGGCCTCACCGCAGCGGCAGCACTACCTGCACAAGCCGCCCTCGGGGGTCCAGGCCCGGGACGCAGGGGCAGCGAGCTCTCCCGTCACCAGCAAAACCACAGCGCAGCCTGAGCCCTGTGCGGGCCCCTCCCACACAGCGCTCTCTGTCTCTGGAGACGCGGAGACAGGAGGACAAGCAGGAGGCAGGGTGCTGCTCTTCCGAGTCTCACGGTGACTCACCGTCCTCGCACGCACAGAGCGCGGCGGGAGGAAGGCGCAGCTTCACATCCCTTAGAGCTGGACTCTCTCTTGGCCTGGCCAAGTCTCTGGGTTCCAGACTCCCCATGGGCAACCCAGGCCCTTTGGGCTCCAGAACATGCCCTGCACTCGTCCTGAGAACCTTCCAGTCACAACACCGTTTGCACACAGCAAGGAGCTCAGAGGAGGAAGCTTCCAAGCCCACCATGGGGCCGGGGCTAATAGACTGTCCTTCCATGACCCTCCCGTCCTGCAAGATAAATTAAATCAGAATGCCAAAATAGAGAGTCTAAGGGCTGTGTGGCCTGAATACAGGTCCTATTGGCTGAGGTCTGCTTTCACAGGCTGACTCAGCTCTCCTGGATTTCTGAAGTTACTTTCCTCTCACCAGCCAGCTTCTCAACCCTGTTTTCCTCCTTCTCCTTTGCCTGAAGACGACCTCTGAAAGCCTCACCCCCACCCAGGTGCCCAGGTCAGGAGCATAGCCTGGGCCAAATAGGAGCCTGCCTGCTTCCAGGGTGCTTGAGCCCCAGGAGCAGGAGGAGACGCTGGGAGCTGCCTGCTCAGAGGCGGGCCTGTCTCACCCCCGATCAGGGGTGACTACAGTCGGTGCCGAGAATCGTGAGGGCACCCTGGTCCACTCACCCTTCCTCCCACCACAGTCACTCCTGCCTTCAGCGAGCTCCAGAGGGTGCCCTCTCAGAGCAGCCAGCCCCCCGCTTTAGGGAGCCTCTCACACATCTAACCTGTGCCTGCCGAGCTGTGAGACAGTCTCCCTCCTCTCCCGCGAGTGGTGGGGCTGGGCCAAAACCAGTCATCAGCCTTCGAGTGAGAAATTCTGTTGACCCATCACATCCCCATCAGTGCCCGACAGGACCCCTCCTCTGTGAGAATGTTGAAACAGGAGCAGCGGTTGGGTAGTGAGGATTCCTGTGTGCTAGGGGAGGATTTTATTTATGATAGGATTATCATCACTGTCAGGTCATAGGTCAAGAGGAGGCTGGGGTGGTTAAACAGCTGGGTGAATCCCTGGCCTTGGGTGAGCACAGAGCCAGGACACAGAGTGAGCCCCTGTCTGCCTCCCTGGGCCCCTAGCCACCAGGCCGCTTGCCCTGCCCCACCCTGGCCAGACACCAGCCCCCTCCAGGGGGCCCTCAGCACTGGGAAGGACCAACTGAATGATCCCCAAAGCCCATCAGGCCCCTCTCCCTCGCCGCCCCCCCACCCACATGCCAGCCCCTCCAGCAGACCCCATGGAGGCCGGTGACAGATGAGGGGGACTGGTCCGCAGTGACAGCCTGGGCAGCCACAACCCTGTACTCCCCACCATCCCACTGCCGACTCCTGGAGAAGGGCATGCACTCCAGTGTGGGGCTCTCTCTGCGTGGATCTCACAACCTCAACCATCGAATCCAGCTCTCCCATTGTGCCAGCTTGCCCACTGAAGGCTCAGCCCACTACAGCACGCAGGAGGCCAGCAGCCTCATCCCAGCCTGGTGGATAAAGGGCAATATCACCTTCCTGTCCAGACTCACAGCCTCTGCGGGCAGGTGGGCGCTTTGTTGCTGCTTAGCCCCTAAGTTTTGTCCAACTTTTTGTGACCCAGTGAACTATAACATGCCAGGCTCCTCTGCCCTCCACTGTCTCCCAGAGTTTGCTCAAATTCATGTCCAATGAGTTGGTGATGCCATCTAGCCATCTCATCCTCAGCTGTCCCCTTCTCCTTTTGCCTGCAATCTTTCCCAACATCAGAGTCCTTTTCAGTGAGTCGGAGCTTCCCATCAGGTGGCCAAAGTATTGGAGTTTCAGCTTCAGCACTAGTCCTTCCAGTGAATATTCAGGACTGATCTCCTTTAGGATGGACTGGATGGATCTCCTTGCAGTCCAAGGGACCCTCAAGAATATTTTCCAGCACCACAATTTGAAAGCATCAGTTCTTTGGTGCTCAGCCTTCTTCATGGTCCAACTTTCATATCCATACATGACTACTTGAAAAACCATAACTTTGACTATATGGACCTTTGTTGGCAAAGTAATGTGTCTCTGCTTTTTAATATGCTGTCTAGGTTGGTCATAGATATTCTTCCAAGCAGCAAGCGTCTTTTAATTTCATGGCTGCAGTCACCGTCTGCAGTGATTTTGGAGCTCAAGAAAATAAAATCAGTCAAGGCTTCCACTTTTTCACCTTCTATTTGCCATGAATTAATGGGACTGGATGCCAGGATCTTAGTTTTTTAAGGTTGAGTTTCAAGCCAGCTTTCTCTCTCTCCTCTTTCACCCTCATCAAGAGGCTCTTTGGTGGCTGAGATGGTAAAGAATCTACTTGCAATGCAGGAGACCCAGGTTTCATCCCTGGGTCAGGAATATCCTCAGGAGAAGGAAATGGCAGCTGACTCCAGTATTCTTGCCTGGAGAATTCCACGGACAGAGGAGCCTGGCGGACTACAGTCAATAGGTCACCAAGAATCGGACACAAATGAGTGACTAACACTTTCACTTCTTCACTTTTTGCCTTTACAGTGGTATCTTCTGGACATCTGGGGTTGTTGATATTTCAAATTGCTCCCAGCTTGTGATTCACCCATCTTGACATTTTGCAAAATGTACTCTGCATGTAAATTAAATAAACAAGGTGACAATAAACAGCTCTGACGCAATCCTTTTCCAGTTTTGACCAGTCAGTTGTTGCATGCCCAGTTCTAACTGTTGCTTCTTAATCCTGCCTCTTTAAGACTTTTCCACAGTTTGTTGTGATCCACACAGTCAAAGGCTTTAGCCTAATCAATGAAGCAGAAGTAGGTATTTTTCTGGAATTCCCTTGCTTTTCTGGAATTCCCTCCATGATCCAATGAATGTTGGCAATTTGATCTCTGGTTCCTCTGCCATTTCTAAACCCAGCTTGAATATCTAGAAGTTCTCCATTCACATACTGCTGAAGCCTAGCCTGAAGGCTTTTGAGTAGAACCTTGCTAGCATGTAAAATGAGTGCAATTGTACAGTAGTTTGAATACTCTTTGGCATTGCCCTTCTTTGTGACTGGAATGAAAACTGACTTTTTCCCGTCCTGTGGCCACTGCTGAGTTTTCCAAATTTGCTGACATATTGAGTGCAGCACTTTAACACCATCACCTTTTTGGAGTTTAAGTAGCTCAGCTGGAATTTCATCACCTTCACTAGCTTTGTTCATAGTAATGCTTCCTAAGAGCCACTGACCTCACGCTCCAGGATGTCTGGCTCTAGGTGAGTGATCACACCATTGTGGTTGTCTGGGTCATTAAGACTTTTCTTGTATAGTTCTGTGTATTCTTACCACCTCTTCTTAATCTCTTCTGCTTCTCCTAAGTTCTTACTGTTTCTGTCCTTTTTCATGCCCATCCGTACTTGAAATGTTCCCTTGATATCTCCAATTCCATTGAAGATTTGAGATCTTCAAGAAATTTGACAAAATTCGGTTTCTTGAATTTTCTAGTCTTTTCCATTCTATTATTTTCTTCTATTTCTTTGAATTGTTCATATAAGAAGGCCTTCTTATCTCTCCTTGCTATTCTCTGGGACTCTGGATTCAGGTGGATATATCTCCCTTTCTCCCTTCCCTTTCTCTTCTCTTCTCTCCTCAGCTATTTGTAAAGCCTCCTCAAAAAACCACTGTGCCTCTTGCATTTCTTTTTCTTTGGGATGGTTTTGGTCACTGCCTCCTGTACAGTGTTATGAACTTCTGTCCATATTTCTTCAGGCACTCTATTAGATGTAATCCCTTGAATCTTAGTTTAAGCTTGAATTTTGCTATAAGGAGCTGATGATCTGAGCCAGAGTCAGCTCCAGGTCTTTTTTGGCTGACTATGTAGAGCTTCTCTATCTTCAGATCCCCTTCATGGATCACAACCTTATTGTGGCAAAGGTGCTTGCATAAATAATTAAACCATGACCCATGCCGTGCAGCGTCATCCAAGACGGATGGGTCATAGTGAAGCGTTCTGACAAAATATGGTCCACTGGAGGAGTGAATGGCAATTCCCTCCAACATTCGTGCCTGGAGAACCTCATGAACAGTATGAAAAGGCAAAAAGATATGACACAGAAAGATGAGTCTCTCAGGTCAGAAGGTGTCCAATATGCTACTGGGGAAGAACAGAGGGTAACTACTAAAAGCTTCAAGAACGGATTGGCCAAAGTGGAAACAACAGTTAGCCGTGGATGTGTCTGGTGGTGAAAATTAAGTCCAGTGTTATAAAGAACAATACTGCACAGGAACCTGGAATGTTAGGTCCATGAATCAAGGCAAACAGGATGCGGTGAAGCAGGAGATGACAAGAGTGAACATTGACATCTTAGGAATCAGTGAACTAAAATGGACAGGAATGGGTGAATTTAATTCAGATGGCCATTATGCCGGGCCCCCCTGGTGTTTCAGCAGTAAAGAATCTGCCTGCAGTGCAGGCAGACACGAGCTTGATCCCGGGGTCAGGAAGGTGCCCTGCAGGAGGGCGAGGCAGCCCACTCCATGGACAGGGGAACCTGGCGGGCTGCAGTCACAGGGCTGCAGAGAGACTGAGTGCGCGTGACAACCTCCATTACCGTGGACGGAATCACTCCTCTGGGCAAGAATCCCGTGGGAGAAATGGAGCAGCCCTCAGAGTCAACAACAGAGTCTTTTTTTTTTTTTACTATTTATATTCTCTTTTTTGTGTGTCATTTATTTTTATTAGTTGAAGGCTAATTATTTTACAATATTGTAGTGGTTTTTGCCATACATTGACATGAATCAGTCATGGATTTAACAACAGAGTCTTAAACACAGCACTTGGTGCAACCTCAAAAACGACAGATTGATTTCAGTTACTTTCCAAGGCAAGCCATTCAACATCACAGTAATCCAAGTCTGTGCCCCAACCACTGATGCGGAAGAAGCTGAAGTTGACCAATTCTATGAAGATCTACAACATCTTCTAGAACTAACACCAAAGAAAGATTTCCTTTTCATTATAGGGGATTAGAATGCAAAAGTAGGAAGTCAAGAGATACCCAGAATAACAGGCAAGTGTGGCCTTGGACTACAAAATGAGGCAGACAAAGGCTAACAGAGTTTTGTCAAGAGAACATGCTGATTGTAGTAAATGCCTTTTCCAACAACCCAAGAGATGACTTGAGTACATCATGCGAAATGCTAGGCTGGATTTAAGCACAGCTGGAATCAAGATTGCTGGGAGAAATATCTATAACCTTAGATATGCAGAAGACCACCACCCTTATGGCAGAAAGCAAGGAAAAACTAAAGAACCTCTTGATGAAGGTGAAAGAGGAGAGTGAAAAAGTTGGCTTAAAGCTCAACATTCAAAAAACTAAGATCATGGCATCCAGTCCCATCACTTCATGGCAAATAGATGGGGAAACAATGGAAACAGTGACAGACTTTATTTTCTTGGACTCCAAAATCACTGCAGATGGTGACTGCAGCCATGAAGTTAAAAGATGCTTGCTCCTTGGAAGAAAAGCTATGAGAAACCTAGACAACATATTAAAAAGCAGAGACATTACTTTGCCAACAAAAGTCCATCTAGTCAAAGCTATGGTTTTTCTAGTAGTCATGTGTGGATATGAGAGTTGGACTATAAAGAAAGCTGAGTGCAGAACTGATGCTTTTGAACTGTGGTGTTGGAGAAGACTCTTGAGAGTCCCTTGGACTGCAAGGAGATCCAACCAGTCAGTCCCAAAGGAAATCAGTCCTGAATATTCATTAGAAGGACTGATGCTGAAGCTGAAGTTCCAATACTTTGGCCACCTGATGCAAAGAACTGACTCATGGGAAAAGACCCTGATGCTGGGAAAGATTGAAGGCAGGAGAAGGGGACGACAGAGGATGAGATGGTTGGATGGCATCACCAACTCAATAGACGTGAGTTTGAGTAAGTTCTGCGAGTTGGTAATGGACAGGGAAGTCTGGCATGCTGCAGTCCATGGGGTCGCAAAGAGTTGGACATGATTGACTGACTGAACTGAACTGAACTGAAGAGAAAGCTCTATACATGAACATCACTGGATGGTCAATAATGAAGTCAGATTATGTTTTTTGCAACTGAAGGTAGGTGTTGAACATCCACATTTACACCACAGGCCTGTGGGGCACCAGGCAGGGGGAGCACCATGGCCCCTAGAGGACTTGACTTGCCGCATGAAGGGAAGCTCAGGCCTGGAGCACTTGGGCTGCCCCTCTGACCCACACCCCAGGCAGTGATGGGGGCAGAGGAGAGAGACCAAGAAGAGAGATCAGGACAGGCCGAGAAGGCAATGGGTACGGGTTAGACTCAGGACACTCAGGAATCCTCCAGACCCCAAGCCATGGCTCCTGCCCTCCCCTGAGCTCAGGACCGCGATGCTCAGCTGTGAGCCTTACCTGTCTGAGAACAGCAAGCTGGGCACTCTTTCTCCTGGTTCTGGAAAGTTGGTGGGGCCATAGGCCTGGGTGGGGCTCCTGCCTGTGGGGGGGACAGGCTGCTGTCTCAAGTGGTGCAGGGGTCACTCCACTGCATGACTTTGGGCCTTAGATGCCCCATTGTTCAGTGGCGCTGACCCTTCCAGCTGGCCTTCTGGGAGGCCCCAAATCTCCCAGCCGTGGGCCCAGGCTGGCTGCGAATGCCCAGGTGCTCTGCACAGTGAGGCGCCCACGTGAGTGGCACCAGGGTCCAGTCTTGCCCTGCTTAGCCACGAGAAGGGAGAGAAAGGTCAGCTTTAACAGTGGGACCATCTGCTTTATTACTTTCCAACTATCCGGATACTCCTCTGCAGATGATCTTCAATAACATTCCTGGATTGCATGCCAAAAAGAGAGAAAACTTTGGACTCAGAACCACAGGCATAAATACCTAATTAAGCTCATTCTTTGAATAAAACCATATTTGAGTGCATCTGTCGGCCCTCTGTAATCTCAGCCACTGCGGGGTGGTGGGACAGCATTCACAGAGGGTGGGAGAGATGGCCCAGCCTGGCACTCAGCCCTGCCCCTTCCTGGGTATTTCTTGTCTCTGAGTTCCCCTGGCTCAGCTGTTTCACCACTTGTTTTCGAGGTCTTACAATCACTGAATTCATCCTTAGTCCTCTCTCCTGGGCTTATGGCCTGCCCACCCTACCCCCCCCCACCACCACCACCATCCTCCAAAAGGCCTAGCAGGACCCCCTCTCTAGTCTCTGCCTCCTCCAGCGCAGCACCTGCAAACATCAGATCCTGCCTCGTCGGGAGAGTTTCCTGCAGATGAGGCCCGTGTCCATCTCCTTTATCCAGAACCGCAGAGAAAGGCTCCCCCTTTCTCTACACCCTCCACCAAAGCCACTGGTAGCAGCCACATCACACCGGAGGACGCTGGTCACTGTCCAGGGCTCCGAGCAGAGGGCCACAGCGAGCCCGGAGACCACGTGTGTGGGGTTCTAACCCCACCTCTGCTGGGAATGACGATTCTCCACGCCTCCATCTCCCTACACCTCCGCTTCCCCATCCATAGCGTTGGGCTCGAGACTCTCTGTGGTCCCTAAAGCTCTGTCTTCAGGGACCAGGTCATTCTTAGGAGCACTGCTAGCCTCTTCAACAGTCTGGCCTCCGGTTATGAAACAGGAGAAGTTAGGGTGTGACTCGGCCTGGGGGGACCAGCTGGTGACCCTCCCAATGAGGGACATCCTCAGCTGACCTGGCAGCTCCCCAAGGGAGGGCGCACAGCCGTACACGCAGAGGTGACTCTATCCCCTCCAGGCCTGCACTCACCTGGGTCACTCACTGGATCCCACCCACCAGCCTCTCCAGCCCCAGACTGCCACTCCTGAGTTCCTAGCTCCTGACACAATGGCCTGACTATCTGCTTACGGCCCCGGTGGGCCAGGCTGCTCCTGACCTGGCCTTCACACAGGCCACTTCTCTTCTGAAAAGGCCGGTCCCCCCGCCTCTGCTCCAGCGTCAGCCTTCCTGACCCTCCACACCCCATCACACAGAGCTGCAGCCCCCTTGTGTCTCCCCAAGTCTCGAGCCAGCCCAGGGCTCTGCAGGAAGCACAGCCGTCCTCCCGACCAGGAGGGTTGGGTGCTCCACTCATGTCTCCAGAGGGAATGAATGAGTGAGTGTGAATGAATGGACTTGGGGACACTGGCCCCCACACACCTCAGCCTTGCATACAGTTAGGTCACAGGGAAAGCACACTCTCCCCACTCTGGGGCTCCTGCTCCCCACGGCAACACCCACAGCCCCCCAAGGCCCCAAGGGGGCCCACCCTGGGGAGAAATCAGCACTAATTCCCCACAGCTTCCTCCACTTTGCTTCCCTCTTACAAACATATTCAAATGCTTCAATTCTGTTTTGGGAACAATTAGCCTAGCATATGGTCTAATCACATTTTGTCTTCTGATTAAAAAAAAACACACAGAAAACTTGGAAAATGAAGACTGACAAGGCTTTATCATGTTTCTTGCAATTGTGACTTGGTTTTTTTTTTTTTATGAAAATAAGCATATCACAGATGAAAGGGTGGTCAGCACCCATCTAGCACAGCACTCCCATTGTACTCAGGGAAGCTGAGGCCCAGTGAAGGGAGAAGCCTGGCCCAAGTTCTTGGGCCCTGAGATTCAGAACTATTGGTGTTCGCATCTTCCTTCTCAACAACCGGAGAAGGTCGGACCCAGTTCTCCTGGGGGCCCTTTAGGACCAGTCTCCTAGGGTTCTGGTGTCTGGAGAATCTGCAGCTACAAGGTTTCACACCCTGGGGGCAGGAGGAAATGGCAGGGTGAAGAGCAGACGTGGATTCCCAGCCAGAGGCCCCCTCTCCTGTATCCCCATCAGGCAATGGCGTGCAGGCCAGTGATGCGGAAACTCATTACCACCCTCCTAGTCCCTAAGGGATCCAGATGGCCTCCACCAGCTAGATGCTGCAAAGCTGTTGAAAGCAGGAGGACCCACCACCATGATGCTGTGAGACAGCCTGCTCCCTGCCGCCCCCCACCCTAGCAGCCTTGCTCGCTAGGCTGGGTTTCGAAGGCCTGAGCAGCGCCAGCCCACTTGGGCACAGCCAGACGTGACTGTATCTGGGATCATCTGTTCAGTGCTGGTCCCTCTCCCGCTGCAACATCAGATCTCAAGAGCAGGAACGGTGCTCGGGGCTCCCCTCACAGCCTCACTCCGTGCGGCGGCCTTCAGTGCCCAGGCCAGCTGTGCCAGCTGACCGCTCCCAGCAGGATGCTGCTGTGAGCTTAGAAGGCTTTCCCCACTTTGCACCGTGTCGTTATCTTGCTCCCAATAGCCCAGATCGGCAGTATTCTCGTTGTCTTCACTTTGCAAATGGGAGCCACAGGGAGACGCAGGAAGGAGGCAGCACATCCGAGATTGCTCAGCCAGGCCTCACCTGCTATGCCATCAGCTCTCAGGGACTGGGACTTGCCCACTCAGAGGGGCAGGGTCCCACAGACACATGCAGGCATCCCAAGTCTTAGCTGAACGAAGGTCAACCTCCCCCTGCTGGTGAGAGATGCTGCAAGCTGTGCTCACTGCCGCGATTCAGCAGGGCGGGTTCGGGGCACAAAGGTGATCCCCGAGCACCATCACCCTGAAGGGAGGCCTCAGTGAGACCCCTGAGCCCACACTGTGAAGCCCCAGTACGTGAAAGCGAGGTGGGGGCTCCAGGCAGGGACAAGCCAAGGCACGAGGCAATGCCCAGAGCGAGAAGCGCAAGGCCTGTCCCACCCGGGGTCCAGCCCGGCTCCTCCTCAGGCTGCAGAGGCTCCGCCGAGTGGCTCAGTTGTGGGTCTGCAGATGGGCCTTCCACGGGCCCTGCAGGCTTGGTGGACCCTCAGCAGTGCCTCCACGGCCCCCTGCCCGCTCCCAGAAGCCCTGCCTCACGCACAGCCACAGGCCAAACCTCCGCTGGTAAGACATGGCCCCGACAGCACTGACCAGCTGGGGAAACACGGCTCATTAGTTTTTAATTAAGAGAAAATGTATTAATATATCTTGATCGTCCTCCCGGAGCTGTGCCCCTCACCCCCTGCAGGGCCTGGCAAGTGGCCAGTCAGAACACCCAGATGCTCACAAGCCCGCAGCCGCACGAGAGGGCCACCAGCTGGAGTGGTGTGATGGAGTGTGATGGAGTCACCAGCTGGGGGAAGTGTGTCTGTGCCAGCAGAAGGGGCCCCGGACTTTGCGGGTGTACACTGCTGTGTCACGTGCCTCCTGCTACACGGCGATGATGAGTCCATCTGGCCAACTCTCGATGCTGATGACCCGGTGGGCCTCCAGAAACCCTAGGTACAGCCTCTTACTGTGAGAACATTCAAAGGAGAGACATGCAGTCCAGGCATGGGGCTCATGGAGCATGCAAGACGGAATGCCTGGGGAAATCTGGAAGGCTTCCCTGACATCTGGGTCCTGAAGGATGAGTAGGAGTTTTCCTCCAGGGGAAGGATGGGAGAAAATATTCCAGACAGAAGGAACAGTCCTGTCCAGAGTCACAGAGCAAGGAACCATTGAAACCCAGGTCTCTCTGATTTCAGTCACTTCCCTTAAACTCTGTGCTCCACCGCTACGTATGTGACGAGCCTTGAATGCCATGCCAAGGCCCAGAGGAAGGTTGGGGACGGGGTGGGCTCTGACATACTTGAGAAAGTTCTGCCAAGTGTGTCGGATGGAAGGGGAGATTTGGGAGACACTTCTGAGATACGATCCACAGGTTTCATAACCAGTGGGATCCTGGGCGAGTTCCCTCACCTGTCTAGACCCAAGTGTCTTAGTGTAAAATGGGCCATGGGGATGTCTTCCATCCATGGCCCTGCCCTCCTGCGGGTTGCAAGGAGGAGCAGGGGGACCCCTGGGGCTGACCCAGGAGTCCTTGGATCTCTGAGCACCCTGAAGCAGCTGCGTGCCCTTGGGCCTGTCCCCTGACCCTGAAGCCTCAGACCTGTCATCCGGAAGAGCTGCTGTGAGCACAGGAATCGCCGGGCCACGTGGCTCTCCGAGTACTGGATCCAGCAGAGTGAACACTCCGGGGCCCCAGCCTGTAAAGCAGCGGCTCCGGGAAGGCGGGGGAGTGCCAAAGGCAGAGCCCTCGTGTTAGGGAAGGGGCTTTAGGGGAGAAGTAGCACAACTTTCTGTATTACTGAGGCATTTGATGATGTTTATAATATTTAATAATTTTAAAATGAGTTTTCAGGAAGACCCAACAACATAAGTAATTATTATCATAGAAAAGCCCTGATGTTGAATAGCTAGGTTTGGGGGCATGCTGACACCAGGAACCACCTGGGGACGCTCTCCCCTTCAATTTCAGTGCTCTCTGGGGCTGACACCTTGAGAAGCTCAAAATGCTGAAAAGCCTGCCCACGGGCCCTGCAGGACCCTGGGCCAAGCTCTCTGTGTGGACTGCGGCCTTTGATCATCTCAGACCCTCCGAGGAAAGGGTTTCGACGCTGCGGCACCTCCCCTCGTGTAACTCCCCTCCTGCCAGGGAGCACAAGCTCCCCAAGCCGTGTGCAAACTGGACCCTGTCCCCAGGGCCCCACACACCCAGGAAGCATAGGCAACCTGGGTTGTGGGGCCCAGGGGGAGACGGGTGCGGGGAAGTCACCCCCAAGAGACCCAGGAGCAGATCTCAGGGCAGGAGGTGGTGGGCAGGCAGCCTTCTGGACGAGGGTGGGCAGGCCTGGGAGACGGGGTGCCCTGGAGAGGCTGCAGCAGGCAGAGGTGCTGTCCAGGCACAGGGAGGTGTCCAGGAAGGCAGGGTCCAGCCCCAAAAGCCGCGCCGACGGAACAGGACACCTCGCGAAAGGAGCTGCAACTACCAGGGAGGGCGCCCTGGCCACGGTATAGTCAGAGAACCTCCAGGTGGCCCAGGAAGGGACTGGGGGAGGAGGGGCTTCTACACTGAATGCCTGGACACCAGGACACAGCTGGGTTTGGAGACTCCCGAGCTGGAGGAGGAAAGGGCCCGAGTCCTGGGCTCTCAGAGCGCTAGGCACCCAAGAGGCCACGGGCTCCACCGAGCCCCGGCTTCCTCCGCTCGTCAAGCCGGATCACCCCTCCCCAAACCTCAGGTTATGTGACTGTGACCGCAGTGGCCCTCCAGCTGGGGTGATGGGGAGAAGAGCTCTCAAAGACGTGGAAGGCAGGTGTGCAGTGCCCGCACAGGTGCACACTCGCACACGCGCACACACACACTCATGCGTCATCTGCTATCAACCACAACAAAGAGATGGCGAGAAACGCAGCCAACAGATGGGAGCCCGCCGAAATGTCAGCCGGATAAAACAGACCACGTCAGAAAAATAAAATTCCAGTTTAGCAAAATCCTTTCCTCCTACCTCCCTCCTAAGAGAAAAATTCCCATGGAGGTTCCTGGGACTCTGGCAATCCAAGACAAGTTATTTATTCAGGACCACCACCCCATCGGGCACGGTAAGCACAAAAGGGAAACATGCGTTTGGATTTGGAAATGGGGCTGCAGTCACAGATGGTGCCTGAGCATGCATAAATTCTGTTGCTGTGTGAACAGATGGAAACTTGAAGGAAAAAAATAAAATAAAAAAAAAAACTTTAGCATTCATCTGCCAGATCATCGCTGGGCTGAAGAAGAGGGAGTTTGTCCCTTGACTGGAAGAGTCTTGGTCTTTCAATCCGTAGGATGGGGCAGAGAAACTGTGCCATGTCCAAAGCTCAGTCTTAGCCAGGTTTAATTTCTGGTTCTGCCATTTACCAGCTGGGGGAACTTACCTCTCTGACCCCAAGCCCTCTTTCGAACAAGAGGGAAATGAGGCAGCTTCCCAGGACTGCTGTAAGCACTGAACTGGCTGGTGTACACGGAGCACACACGCAGACCCGGCACGGAGGAGGACCTGCCAGATGCAGCACCCAGGCTGGTGTGGGGGCCCCGCTCACCAGACAAAGCCCAAGGTCACTGGATGGGAAACTGAGACGCCGACAGGGCTCGGGATGAGCCTGCAGGAGAGCTGGGATGGGAGCCGCCTGGGGTCTGGGCAAGAGAGCAGAAGCCGGGGTCAGTGGGAGGCTCAGTGAAACCCTGGGAATGGGGAGGACAGTTCAAAGGGAAGGTTCTGTCCACCCTGCCTCACTCTCACTTGGGAAGCAAGTCAGTCCTATGTCTCTGCCCCACGACGCGGGTCCATCTGTTGCAAGTGGCTGGCAAAAATGACCATAAATCATCACCCCTGCCTGTCTCTGGCCCTTTGTCAGGTTACCTGTCAAGAGTTGGAGTTTCCCTGTGCCTTGCTTTGATGGAATGCAGTGGACATGACAGCACACCCATTAAGGCCAGACTTGCACTCTTTTTGGCTCCCCGTCTCCTCCAGAGAACAAGCCTGGCTAAGAGACACGGGGTGCAAAGCCAAACTGGGCCCACGGTCCCAGCTGAGGACCCAGACATGGAAGATCAAGAAGATCAACAAAGCCACCTAACCAACCCTCAAGTGACCACACACGACTGAGTGAACCTGCCAAGCCCAGCCTGGGTCAGCAGAACCCTGAACCAACGCGCCGATGCATGGGCAGAAATCTGCACTGATAGTTGTATGCCATGGAGGTCTGGTGGGTGTTATGTGGCAATAGACACTGATCCTCCCTCTCCCCCAGCCTCACACTCCGAACCAGCCTCCTCGCGCTGCAGGAAGTCGGGGGAGAGGAAGATCTCATTACAGACCCAGAATGGTGTGTCAGAGTTCAGAAAATGTCGACTCAAAGGCAGGGAACCCTCTGCCCACACGCCAGGGGCCCGCCCAGCAGCAGAGGGCCAGGTCACCACGGTCCGAAAGCCTCTTTGCCAGAACAGCGGGTCCTCCTGATGGAGATGCTGACCACCCTCAGCATGGGCTGCTGGGGGCTCCTGGCCCTCAGCCCCTAGACTCGCTGCACTGAGGGGGCAGCCCCACCCCCAGGGCCCACAGCGATGGGGAGCCTGAGCTGGAGACCCCAGAGCGGGCAGGAAGGTGGGTGCCAGCAGAGTCCTCCCCGCAGCTGAGCCTGCCCTGCTCTCGCAGGAAACCCTCTCAGCAACACCTCTGCGCTGCCGACATGCCAGATGATTCTAGCTCCCGGGGCTCAACACAACGCTGGCTGATGTTAAGGAAAAAACTGTGCCACGTTAAAGATGGTAAAGCAGGCTTTATTCAGGACCATTGCGGTAGGCTCGGGGACCCCGCAGTGGGGCTTTGCAGGGGGAGGAAGAGACGGGCCTCAACTCTTAATCCAGCCTGGCCGTGTGGGAGTGAACGGCCAAGGACACAGAAGGGCACATCAGGGGTGGCGGGGGTCTGTCTAAAGCGACCCAGCAGGATTCTTGCCGAAAACAGGCCAGGCTGATCAGACATCACAGGGCGGGGGACGGGGAAGAACCTGGTTAGGTATCACAGGTGGGACGATCTTATTAACCTTCTCAGGGCTCTTGCTAAAACTAGATTCTAAAAGGAAGTGTACAGATGGGCCTAGGAAGTTCAGAAGCCTGACTAGAGTTTCATCAAGCAAAGAATCTTTGTCGCAGACACCACCCTGAGGGGCTGTGGCCCGTGGAGGCAGCGGAGCACGCTGCCCAGCAGGGTGGCTGAGGCAGATGGCACGGTGAGCTCTGGGAAGCAGAGTCAAGTTCTGAGGACTTTGCCCACCCCTAGCCCCAGGAAGACCCTCTAAACCAGCCCTTCATGTCCACTGAGGCTTGATGCTCCAGGGCAGGGTCCCGGGAGCGACTCCTAGCCCTGAAAGCAGGGTTTGTCTTCTCCTCCCACCCACTCTCCTTTTAAACCTGCCCATGGGTTGTCTTATCTGAAAATATTTCCCAGAGAATATTGCAGACCTCCACAATTTATGGAGAGTCCCACTCTTCAGAAACACACGCACACAGGATGCTTCCTCAGGTGCAGTTACCTTTGTCTGAAATGCTTTTCTCCTAGTTTTCCATCCAGCAAGCTCCCACTCACCCCTCAAGACCTCACTCATATGACACCTCTTCTGAGAAACCTCCTTTGATTTCCCTGGCAGAGGACAGTACTGTCTTCTGGGTTTGTTTTAGCTTGGGTTGTACTTCTCCTTGTATGCTGACCACAGGTTCACACACTATGGTTCATGGGTCGATCAGATCCAGCCTGTCCCTTATTTTGGTAAAATATTATTAGAATTATCCAAACATTTGTTTATACACTGTCTGTGGCTGCTTTCCCACAACAACAGCAACGAGACCATATGGCCCACAAAGCCAAATGTCTATTAATACTGTCTCATCCTTTCCAAAATGTTCGGTTACCCTTTCCCTTGACCATGAGCTTCTCAGGATCTAGGACAAGGAACACGACTGCTTGCTTCTCTCCTGCAGCCCTGGCCAGGAGGAGTCACACACCGCACTTGATAAAAGTCTGCTGAATAAATGAACAGATAAGTGAAAGGAGTGTTACGGGTTCACCCCAAAGTTCGTGTTTGCAATTTCATGCATCGGACTAGTTTCCCAGAGGGCTCAGAGGAACTTTCAGGGTTTCAAAGTGCACTAGCAAGAAGGAAGAATTCTGGGTTTCAGGAAGTGTGGGGAACTCTGACATTGCCCTGTCCCATCCTCAGCTCGCATTTCCCTCCAGCAATTGCAGGAGAACCAGCTGCCAGCTGGGGCTGCTGGCAGTACCTGCTCCCATAGCCATCCGCATCACTTGCTCTCTGTTTGGGCCCTCTGTTTCTGCCCCCTGAGGTGCCCGGGAAGGTGCTGGGCCATTCCGGTACACACCCACCCTTGGAAGTGCAAGGTAGTCAACACCCCTGGAAACTCCCGGCCAGTGGGGGAGGCACACCCACGGATGAACACCTTCTCCCTTGGACACCTCAGGGGGGCAACTGACGCAAGTCCTACCCAGTACCCCAGAGGGTCCCCAGGTAAAAAGAGCCCCAGTGGCCCACAGCGACTTCCTTCCACTCCTGTTTCACCTTCCCAGTGAGCCACTCCTGTGGCTCCACTCCTGGAATCACAGCCCCCAAATAAATCCCCTGCGCAGAAGCCCTTGGTCTTGGCCACACAGGTGAGGCAGCTCCACCCGGCTGCAGCGGGACAGAAAATCAGGTCCTTCAACCATTTAACGCTTCCAAAGCCTCCACAGAGAGTGAGCAGGGCCCCAGCTTCCGGAGGGTGCGGCCGCAGGGCCCCATGGGCTGGGTGGCTGCAAACAGCAGGCACACGCACTCTACCGGTTCTGGAGGCGGCTGCAGGGCTGCATGTGTGCAGAAGGCCTTGAGAGCACACTGCCCTGCCTCCTCCAGCTGCGAGGGCCGGCTCAGGCAGCCCCAAACTGCCCGTCTTTCCATGGATTTCTCCTTTCTCTGACGACCCCAGTCACTGGATTTAGGGTGTGTCCCAAAAGGCTCCGGGAGAGGGAGGTTCCAACTCTCCAACCAACCCACTCGGAGCTTTCAGGACCATCCTCCACAGGCCAGACACTGATGTCCCCTGGCCCTTGGCTTGCATATCTCTTGAGAAACTTAATTTGCCAGCAGGTGATGAAATCGCCCCGTGTGGAGCAGTAAGGTCCCCGTCATGACCACTAGGCCTTTCAGAGCTCTGAACTTCCAAGTTAGTGGCTGAGATCTCAGTAAATCCCTCCTAAAGGAGTAAGTAGACTTTGGCATGAAGGCGGACACAGATTCCCTGCCCCTTGCCTGACCTCCCTGACCCTGGGCTTCCCTTGTACTGCCCCTCATTACTCTGACCTCCAGGGAGAGGGCCTGCACCACAGACAGAGAAGGGAAGCCGAACCCTGAGCCCCAGGGGGTGAGCACTCCCTGCAGGGCTTCCCTGCGTGTCTGTGACGGTCGTTGGTCAAGTGGGAGGTGTCTGGCCCTCCCCTGATCCCCTCCAACCTCTGAGACCAGCACAAAGTCTTGTATGCAGCAGGAGCTTAGCATGGACTTAGTGAATCGTCAGAAGGTAGCTGAATTGTCTAGGCCCCGCCTCAGGGAGCAGCCAGGGGCTGGAACTGGTGGCCAGCTCACAGAGCAGACTCTGAGTCAGAGGCCTTTCTGTCTGATTGGATTTTTCCTCCTGACTCAATCTGTAAACAATAAACATTTAATTTGTCTCACAATTACATTGAAAGGCAGATAAACCCTGGTAAGCCTTCATCCGGCATTCTGGCTTCTAATCGCCCTTTATCCTCTCTCTCTTGCACATGTGTGTGCACACACACTGAGTCTCTGGGGCAGGCAAGGCAAGGCAGAGTGGGGACCCCACCTCACCTGCCATCTCCAGCGCAGCACCCAGCTCCGGCCATGGAGCAACCACAAGGCGAGGCAGGGTGTGGGGCTGGTCATCTTGCCCTTTGCTCAAGCTCCGGCTGGACCCTGAGTTGTGGGACTTCTCAGGACCTTTGGTATATTTAATGCGCTGTCGCTCTCCATGTGGGGAGCAGCTTTCCCTGGGTGCATTTAATTATAAAAGGTGCAGCCCAGATCGGTCAGTAAAGGAGGAGACAGGAAGCAAAGCCTGGTCCACCTCTGCAAAGGCTAGTGACATCCTACTGTGACATCTTTGTCCTGCCCTCTGAGCAGCAATGGGGGTCCTATGCACAGTCAGGGGCTCTCTTACCAGAGTTGGGGTCCTCCCAAGGACAGCTCAGACCACCACGGAGGGGAGAGACACCAGCTGCAGGGTCAGAACATCTGATTTCCGAAGCCCACTCAGGCGCTCACCAGCAGTGTGATCTCAGCTCAGCCCTCACCCTCCCGGGGCCTCACCCCCTGGCCCCAGGACTCAAGCACAGCATTGTCAGATCTGTGGCTGCAGCGAGTCACCTCCTATACCACCGGTTGGGAAGCAAGCCCAGAGTCTTTGGCGCACACTCCCTGCCTTTCTGGGGCAGGCTGCACCACCATGGAGCCGCTGCAGCTGCAGGTGGAAGCACAGCAGCCCAGCGCAGGACCGCCTGTGACAGCTCAGCGCCTCCTTCTCCCAGCCTGAGGCTCACAAATGTAGTCATTTCACTTTCCATAAGAAAACGTCCAGTCCTCGCTTGGACCAAGGATCCCCTCTCCCCGGGACCTCCAGCAGGCAGGCCGGCCCTTCCTCTTTTCCATGCAATTGGCCTTCCCCGGACTGCTGGCCCAAAGCCAGGGACAGTCCAGGCTCCTCCTGCCTGCGTGTGGCAGGCAGAGGTATGCAACTTCGGGCATCAGTGCTCAGGGCTGTGGGTGCAAAGCTCTGCACGTGCACTCCAGGGAGCACGCGCACCTGGGGAGGTGGACTGTCATCCGCCCTGACTCCCCCCTTGCCCGGAAAGCTCCCAGCCACTCCAGACAGGGCCCTTCTTCCCGTCAGCATTCCTGGAAGCTGTGGCCTAAGCCAGACAGATGAGGCTCCTTCCTGGGCCTTTCCCACCAGTACGACAGCCGTCCTTCTGTCCCTTTCACCCTGTGGCTGGGAGCGCGAGCTGGCATGCGTGGGGACAGCCGCCCTAGGGAAAGGAGGAGGAGGAGGGGCGCCCAGTGTCACCCCTCTGTGAGGCTCAGCTCCCCTCGGACTTGCGCCCAAGCTCGTCCACCTCGGGCGCTGCTGCCGCCGGGGACCTCAGGCGGCTCCCAGGCGCCTTCCGTCTCCCGCTTCTGCCCACCTGGGAAGGGCCCAGGGGTCTGGGGGGGGGGGGGCCTGCCTCAGCGGGAGGCCTCAAGCTTTCCCTCTCAGGCACATTTTGCCCATCAGTAAGGTAACCATATTGCTCCTTACGGTCCCCGGGCACCTTGCAAACCCAGAGGGCAGCAGAGAAGGGTGCCCGGCCAGCACCGCCCACACCATCCCTACTTCCTGCTGTGGGGCTGTGTGTAAGCGGCTTGACCTCTCTGAACCTCTCTTTGCTCCATTATGACCCTCCAATAACAATGGCCCTGTCCCCACAGTGTCAGGAAAATGGAATGAGCTGGGCTTCCCAGATGCTCAGCACGGTGCCCGCCGGCCGAGGGAGCTTGGCACGGGAAGCTGTAATTGTCCCAGCTGCTCCGAACTCTGAGTCTAAACCCCAGCAGGAGCTGGCAGCTCCAATCGTCTGGGGCCTCCTCTTTCCCAGATAAAGGGCTGAGATGCTGAACTAATAATGCCTTTTCCTTTCAACAGAAATAGCCATAGGAATACTAAAAACCTATCCCCACCCCGATAACCCCACCAACATGCATGTGCACTTGTGTGCATAAACACACTCACACACTCACAGGCTGCTCTCATGTACACACTCTCACACACATGCCCGTGTGTTTACACACATATCTACACCCACACATGTGCTCCCATACTCACATGTACACACGTCTTCACACACTGGGTTATGCACACAAATGATCACACATGTGTGCAGCCATATGCATGCACTCGCATGCACACACAACATACATATGTATGAACACACACTCAAAGGCACACACCTGCCCCCTCCTCTCTGTTCAGAATGTACTAGCTGTCTTTTTAGTTCAGTAAGTCCCTTTTATTTTTTTTATATTTGAACCAAATTTTTTTTTCCATTTATTTTTATTAGTTGGAGGCTAATTGATTTACAATATTGTAAAAATATGGAACGCTTCACAAATTTGCGTGTCACCCTTGCTCGGGGGCCATGCTAATCTCTGTATCGTTCCAACTTTAGTATATGTGCTGCCAAATCGAGCACAGTAAGTCCCCTTTTTAAGCTCTCAGTGGAGGGGGTTGCACACAGTCACATTGAGACCTTATATGCCAAGTCCCAGCCCTGGAGCCAGACTTTATGACGGAGTTGTAAAGCTCTGTTGATGGGAGTCAGTGGTGCTGGTGCAGACACGGGTTCAGCAGAAGAGGGGCCAGTGCGGCCCTATCAGAGCAGCGCAGGCAGAGGAGAGCAGCCCACAGCTCACTAGACGCGGGTGAGGGGCAATTATGAATGCCAGCCCTGATGGTTTTCTACCTCTCTTATAAAAACCGTCCTAGGTTCTCCTAATATCTGGTCAATTTTCTCTCAAATTAATGGAATTTCCATCCTATAATATGTGGATATTCTGCTCGTGCTCTCCAAAGGCACACAAGACTCTGCAGACGCTGGCTCTCCCCTGATAGGGGCTGCCGCCAGCCCTCTTACCACACACACTCCTGTTTTCTTAATCACTCCTTTATAAATCATGACATTCCTGGTTGTTCCAGCTACCTGTAGAGGTGATGGGTTTGCTCAGAAGACGAGCACAAAGCCTCAGCCCCCCTTCTGAAAGGAGGTGGGGGCTCCCTGGGCCCCAGGAACTCTGATTTCTGAGGCCAGTGACTGCTCTCAGAACAAGGAGAGGGAGAGGCGTGCGGAGGAGGAGGTCCCCGCAGATCCGGGCTGCACCGCGGACTGCGGAGGAGGAGGGCGGGACAGCGTCTGAGCAGCAGCTGGAAGCCAGGATGCGGCCGGGGGTGGGCAGGCCCCTGGGCCCGCAAGGGCAGGGCCGCGGGGACTGTGCGCCCGCTCGGCGGTGCGCTGGCCGCCCGTGGAGATGCCCTCTGCGGGCCAGCTCGGCGCCTGGGCCCTGGAGAGGCCGTGGCGCTGGCCGAGCTGACTGCGCAGGGGCGGTCCCCCCGCCAGGCCCCGGAGCCGCCGGCCTCCAAGGCACACACCCCGCCCCGAGCTGCAGGCCGGCAAAGGCACTGCCCGCGGGGGCTTCTCAGACCGACCGCGGGCCTCGCCGCGGCCGCGACCAGTACTGGCCCCGCGTGCTCCTAGACCGAGGGTCACAGACAGGCAGCAGTGAGCCTTTCTGACCCGTGGGTAGGTGCTCCTTGCCTTGTGCTTTATTCTTAGTCATTAGAATTAGTTAAGATACTTTAGAATGAGATTTTCACATAGATCTTTACCTTCTTTCGGAGAAGAGGTTCACACTCCTCCAGGGCAGCATCTGACTGGAGTGACATTCCCCCACCCACACCTGCTGCCCCCCCACACACTCATACACACACACACTCACGCACACGCACACTCACGCGCACTCATACACACATGCGCACATATTCTCACACACACGCGTGCACTCATACACACACGCACACACACGCACACACACTCACACGCACACGCACACACACTCACACGCACACGCACATACTCATACACACGCGTGCGCACACACTCACACACACACATGCACACACTCACATGCACTCATACACACATGTACACACACTCACACACACGCGCACACGCACACACACTCGCACTCATACACACACTCACACACACTCACACGCACACGCACACGCACTCATACACACATGCACACACACTCACGCGCACTTACTCACACGCACTCATACACACATGCACACATACTCTCACACACACGTGCACACTCACACACACACACACGCACACTTACTCGCACACTCACGCGCACACACACACGCACATACTCATATACGCGCGTGCACACACACTCACACTCACACGCACACTCATACACACACATGCACACACACGTGTGCACACTCTCACACGCACTCATACACACACACTCACGCACACACACATGCACACACACTCACATGCACACATACTCACACACTCACACGCGTGCACACTCACACATGCACACTCACACGCACTCATACACACGCATGCACTCACACACTCACGCACACTCACACTCATACACTCACGCGCACACTCACTCATACACACACGCGTGTGCACATGCACACACACTCACATGCACACTCACACACTCACATGCACACCCACACGCACACACACTTACTCAGCACCCTGGGATGTGAGTTTCTATGGTGTGGACGAGCCCCTCATGGCCTCAGGCACTGCATCCACCCTGCCCTACCAGGCCTGGTACAGGCTCCCCCAGTGCACACAGGAGCCTCAGCCTTGTGACCCTGTGTCTCAAGAAGGGCACGGCGGACCGGGGCTGGCTCCACTGTCAGTCTGTTTTAGAAGTGACAGTGCCCAGCTTCTCACTCCTGGGGACCACCTGCAGTTGCCCCAGAGCCCTGCTTTCCTGCCCAAGAGACCAGAGCCCAGGAAGGAAGGCCAGGCTCCGAGGCCATGGGCCAGGCTCTGCCCCACCTTCTTCCTCCCCTCCTGCTCCTCAAACAGAGTACCCACCAGTGTCCTGAAGATGCCCAGCGTCATCCCACTTCACCTGGACAGCAACTGTGGGGAGTGGGTATGACCCAGACAGTCTGATGAGCAGGCACTCCTGGGAGGCCCCCAGCCCCAAACATCCCACTGAGCTGCACCTGCTCTCTCTTTAGTGATAAGTGCGGCCCTTTCTCGCCTTCATTCGTGGTGTTGGGTCTTGGGGACAGGCATGCCACTGCT